ATCTCTACTAAAAATACAAAAAAATTAGCTGGGCATGGTGGCGGGCGCCTGTAGTCCCAGCTACTCGGAGGCTGAGGCAGGAGAATGGTGTGAACGCAGGAGGCAGAGCTTGCAGTGAGTTGAGATTGCACCACTGCACTCCAGCCTGGGGGACTCCATCTCAAAAAAAATATATATATATATGTATATACACACACATATATACACACACACATATATATAATACACATATATACACACACACATATAATATATACACATACACATATATATACACACACATATATATATAACCACAATTTTGCAGATGAGGAAACTGAGGCCCAAAGAAGTTGCTCAAGGTCACTTTATCATTAAGTAGCAGAGTCAGGATTCAAACTCCAAACACCTGGCTGGAGGCCATGCTCTGAACCGCTTACTCCATGGATCCCTGAGAAAACAACTATGTCCTATGAACTGGAAACAAACATAGGCCCTTGAAAACCGTGTACTATTTTAAAACCACAATACTATGGAATAACAATCTGGGATTCCTCAACTGTGGCACTGTTAATACTCGGAGTGGATAATTCTACGTTGTGGCTGACAGTCGTGTGCGTTGCCGGGTGCCTAGCAGCATTCCTGGCCTCTCCCCACAAGTACCGCATACCCTCTGAGTTGTGGCTACCACAGATGTCTTTAGACATTTCCAAAATGTCCCCTGGGGGACAAAATCACCACAGATTGAGAACTACTGCAATAAATCCAGCCTCTTAATATGTCTCTTAATTCTTTAATTTTAGAAGACCCATTTAAAACAAATATATACCATTTTGAAGGAATATTTATCTGAAGTTTGATTTCTTATCCTTCTGTTAAGTTCAAGTAAACTTACATATAACATTTTAATAAAAATCTGAACAGCAGTTATCTCAATGGTGGTAAACAGTGCTTTACAAATTAACTTACTTTCTTCTCTATACTGTAATTTGTTTTTCAAATTTTTTGCCACGTTCTTGGAATCAGAGGGGAAAAAGTTACGTTTTAAAAGTAGATAAATAACACCAGCTTCTTTCCTGGAATCCAAAGCCTCTGAGACCACTTCCTGGCCCTCAGTATGGAGGTTTCTGGGACATTTCTCCTTTTAGCTAAGCCGTGCCTTCTTCCTTCATGCTTCTCAGTTAGTTTACTTAGTGGAACTTAACAAGGATCTACTTATGTAAGAAGTTATTTTAGAAAGACAGCAGGATACTTGCTGAGAGATACATGCTGTGTCTGTGATCCTACCATTAGATCGTAACCTGAGCCAGTTGGAAAGTCCCAGCATTCTCAGATGGGTCCAGTTGGGAGGCTCAGATGGGTCTAAGAGCCACTTTGCAGAACAAAGATCATCTTTCAGGATGAATGGGAGGGTTAGCCCCCACCTGATGAAACTCCAAAGCGGGAGAATGTTGAATTCATTCAACATTCATTTATGAATCTCATGTCCTGTTCCTCCTATACTGTTCAAGGGGCTAGGGATACAGCAGTAAGCACAGCATAAAAGACCATTCTTAAAGAGTTTTTATCCTAGTGCATGGGCCAGACAGTTGAGAATTTAACTACATATGTCCCTAAATTGTTTTCTAATTATTTTGTGGATGTCTTTCTTGTCTCTTCAACTAAATTGAAAATCCTCAAAGGCAGAAACCATGTCATACTTCTTTATGACATCCCAAATTGTTGGACACACTGCTAAGCACATTAATAAGACACTCAGTACATACTTAACAGTTGTCAATGAATCCAGCAGAAAGAAACATGTTGCAGACAATGCAAAGCACATGAGAGAGACAGAGACAGACATAGAAAGTGGGTGGGGAAGAGGATACGTAGGAAACTGGTTAACAGTAGCTCCTCTGGAGTTTTAAGAACCTGTAAGAACAATCTGAAAGGAAATTAAGAAAATAATTCCATTTACAGTAACCTCTGTTATGTACTGAATGTCTGCATTCCTCTCAAATTCTTATGTTGAAACCCTAAACCCTGTGTTGCTATATTTGTTGACGGGCCCTCCAAGAAAGTAATTAAGGTTAAATGGGGTCATAAGGGTGGGGCCCTG